GCTTTTCCAAAAATTAAACCTGTACATGTCGCCTTGACGTAAACGTGGAGCCCAGGTCAGCCAACCTTTAGTTCTGTTTGCTCCTTCATGCTGAGTGTTTTGGTTTCCTCAGAGTGTTTGGAGGAGCTGGGCTGTCTGATCGAGGGCTATGGGATGAACGTGTGCCAGCCGACTCCGGCCAAATCCCTGAAGGAGATCGCCGTCCACATCGGAGACAGAGACACGTCCGTCCGAAACGCTGCCCTGAACACGGTGGTGGCCGTCTACAACGTCTGCGGGGACCAGGTCTACAAACTCATCGGAAATGTAAGAGACAAAAGGAAACAAAGTTTGGAGCTGGAAGTTCCCTCCACAAAATCAGAGACTGATTTTATTTGGATTTTTTTCCAGCTGTCAGAGAAAGACATGAGCATGCTGGAGGAGCGGATCAAACGATCGGCGAAGAAGACGCCTGCGGCTCCGGCGAAGCAGAGCGCCGCCGAGAAGACGCAGCGGGAGCAGCCGACGAACCCCAACGCCACCTTCCTCCGCAAGCCAGCACAGGAAGACCCTGGAAAGCTCAAGTAGGTCCCCGTTTTTACTGGAAACCAGTAAAACATGCTCCAGTTATGAACGGAAATATAAAGATGCTTTACAAACTGTCACACTTGGATGAATCTGCACAAACTAACTGACCACAAAATGATCAATATTTATCAGATTTCTTCCTTTAACCAGTAGAAACTGAGTAACTATATGGACCACAGCAGTTTTATTTATATTTATCATACATTCATATCACAACAGTGTTTAAATTATTATTGAAGGTACCCAATATGGACTCCGTCTGGGGAAAACAAGGCAAAGAAAAGTCTATATAGATCAATCTGTCCACTGTCGCCCCCTGCAGGTTTGTTTTTGCAGAGCAGTTAGCATCTACAGGTTAAGTTTCTCATAATTCACTCTATTGGTAATTTGGGAACTTATTCACCTGGTAAAGGGTTGCCAAGTGTCGGAGGAAACTAAGGAACTAAAACATTTTATTTACATTTGATAAAGAAACAAACCCAGTTTTACATAAAATGTCCAAGTCTCTGCTTTTATCATTTAAATCCAGTTTCGGTGTTTTTAATTAAAGTTTGCATATTTTATCTTGGAGGTGAATTATTGACATTATTCAGCTCTGGAAAAAATTAAGAGACCATTTAAAATGATCAGTTTCACTTTTTATAGGTTTGTTTGAATAAAATTAACATATTTTTATTCTATGAACTTCTGACATGTCTCTGAAATTCCAAGCATAAATTTTGTATTTGCAGAAAATGAGAAATCATCAAAATAATGAAAAAGATGCAGAACTTTCAGACCTTGAATAACGCAAAGAAAATCGAGTTCATATTCATTTAGAAACAACAACACTATCGTTTTAACTCAGGAAGAGTTCAGACATCAGTATTTGGTGGAATAACCAGGAGCTTTTCAATGTTCTCTCCTTTTTTCCCAAAGCTGTATATTTTTTCTATTTTGTGATCTCTAGTCTTTACAAACTAAAACTGGAAATTAAAGTATTTAATAGATGATTGTTAGAACCAAGTGATAAAGAGCCCGACTTTCTTGTTACATCCTTCATTTAAAGTGTATCCATGCGTTTCTCTCTGACGTCTGTTTAAATGTTTGTGTGTGAGACTTTCTGACCTTTCCGGCCGTTTTCTCACCAGCATGCTGGCCGTTCCTCTTTTACCTGTCTGTATTTAAATGTTTGCCAACATCTGATCTGTCCTCCTGCTCATCCTGGCCTCTGAGCCGCTGCATGCTGGGTTGCTCTCACAGTCGCACATCAGATCAGTGAGTCTGTGAAACCAACCTGCCTCTGGTCGTTTCTGTCTCCTAACCCTTCATCTTTCTTCCTGTGTGACCTGCTCTGCCTGCCTTCCTTTCCGGAGCAGAATAATGTATCGCACGTATAGGATGTGAGTACAACTCCTCCTCCTGCTTTCTGTGTCGTCACTGCAAATTCACCCTAATGCTCGTCATAAATCAGCCCAACAACCAAAAACCTGCTGAGTTCTGGTGAAGCATTGCACTAACTCGCTCATCCCTCCTCTTCCTCACTCGCCTGTTTATGTTTGAGAGAACCTGAGAATCGGATCAGGCCGGCTGCGTGGCGTCCAGTCAGCCGCTGAGTTGTGAACATTATTCCCAGCAGCAAAAGTGGAAAAGAATGGTCATTCTTGCTAATGGATCATCTGATCCAGATTCTGCAGGATGTTTGCAAACATTTTTACAGCGTTTCTCATCAAATTAGATGAAGATGTGAAGGAAATATTGGTTTAGTTCCTTCGCAGCCATAGTGTTTACTCCATGTTGAAACGCTGAGCCGTGTTCCTCGGCCTGGATGTTGGGAGGAGTTTAACTCACCGGCTGCCTGACTTTAAAAAGTTTAGAAGCAAAATGAAAACCTGAAGCTGATGCTTTCATAAGTTTTAGGATCATTTGTGGCTCTAATATTGCTTGTTTAAATTTATTTCTGAAGAGGAAAAGATAAAAGTCTAAATTATTTTTTGATCTTTAGTCATAAAGTTTCTGAGCTGCTCCTGATCAGACTCGGATGTTAAAGACCAGCATGTAACAACTACTGACTTGGCAGATCAATTACTCTTTATTTTCTAAAAGTTGAGATAAAAACTGGAAACTCCTGAAGTTATTTAATTTCATCTAAAGTTTGTTTGGGTTTTTGTCCTATAACTTTGGGCGAAACGACGTCGTTGACGTCCCGTTTCGCCTCCTTCGGCCTCTGATTCTGTTCATCTGTTATCCTTCACTTCCTGTGTTTAGATGAGCTAAAAGGTTCGTCTCAAGCTAACGGTGCTCATGATGATCCGTGGTGCTGCAGACCAACGTCACTTTGTCAAATAAAAGACAGAATCATGTTGAATAGATTTGAGTTTAGATTTTTATGACGGATTGTCCTTAATCTAGGAAACGCTTCGCAGCTGCTTGTGTCCATGTTCCCTCTGTGGTCTCTGTAGCTCATGAACGCCTGCGATCGGTTCGGCCATGTTGTTTTGTGAGGTCAGTGCTGTGAAGCTCCAGTTCAGACGGACCGACCCAACCTCAGCATCAACAACGACCTTTCCAACTAAATTCACCATGAAATGTGACTTTTACGATGTGTAAAATTCACGGTTTCCACTCAAACCTGAAGTGGCCAAAATTTCCAGAAAAAGAAATTTAAAGTTTTAGGAAGAGAGACCTGCTTCGATGCCCTTACAGCTTCGCTGTTGTTGTGGCTGTCATTACAAATTTGTCGATTTTCCATTAATGTCAAAAAACACTTTAGCAATCGCAGCGTTTATAAGTGTCTTTACCCTCCAAGTCATTAAAACGTGGCGCCATCATCCTCCTGCCAGTAGTAGCGTCTGGTTGTTGATCACTTTCACTCATGTGAAGTGAAAAAAGTGTTTTTAATGTTAGTTTTTATGCGGCTGAACAAAACCACTTCGTCCTGGCTCAGAAAATGTCTTTATAAATTGTCACGTTTCCATAAAACAAATTTATTTTAGGAAGTTCATATTTGCACACGGTTTGGGTCATGTATGTCAAATATCGCCCGACTCGGTTCAGATCCGTAAACGTCTGAGGTGATTCAGTATGGAAGTCCAGACTGGAGCTAGAAGCACTGATCTCTACCCAGTAGAACTGACTGGTTCCTCTGCTGCCCGTCCAGTCAGTCCCGGCAGAACGCGCACAGCGACCATCCCTCCATCCCCAAGGAGTTCCAGCTGGACCTGGACATGATAGAGCAGGACCAGCGGAGCGTGTGTGAGCTGCCGGACCTGGTCCAGCACCAGCTGGACGAGCTGCTGGAGCCCGTCATGATCCCGGAGCCCAAGTAAATGCACCGCCGTCCCCAAACGGAACCGGTCCGACTCAACCAGAAACGGCCTTAACGTTCCTGTGTTTCCTTCCAAGGATCCGCTCCATCTCTCCTCACTTTGACGACCTTCACAGCAGCACGGCCTCCACCATCAACTTCGTCATCTCTCAGGTGGCGAGCGGCGACATCGGCACCAGCATCCAGGCGCTGGCTCAGGTCCGGTCCACCTCCACTAACCGCTCTACATCACTTTTTACATGGTTGCATGTAAAATCTGAGAATCTGCCAATTTATTCACCTGATTTAGTATCAGAATAATCTATGACTAAAATAATCAGTTGGAGCCCATAAAAATAATTTATACTTCTGGAAAAATTATTCTGAAAACGTCTCGACTCGTTCTGAAAATAGTCAGAACAGATCAGACTGAAACCTCATTATCCAAAAACGATTGTGTGCAAAAAATTAAAGATGATGAATATTATTAAAAAATTTAGTCCTGAGCAGTATTCACCGAATGCAGAGACGGCTATTTAGTCATATCTTAAGTTTATTCATCAGTTTTTAAAATGCATTCTTCTGCCTTTGAGGACATTTATCAATATGGCCCAAAGTTTGACCTTCCTCATGACCTTCTCTCAGATTGACGAGGTTCTGCGTCAGGAGGACAAGGCCGACGTCATGTCGGGTCACATCGACCAGCTGCTCATCGCCACCATCATGCAGCTGCGCCTCATCAACAGCACGCACCTCGCAGACGACCGCGTGGACAAGACGGACCTCATCAAGCTGTACAGCTGCATCATGGGAAACATGATGTCTGTGAGTGAGCGCTCGGAGCGACGCCCTGCTGCTCGGTGACCCGCAGGCGGCCTCTAACCCCGTTCTCCTCCCCTCAGCTGTTCTCCATGGAGACGCTGGCCCGCGAGGCGTCGATTGGTGTTCTGAAGGACCTGATGCACAGCCTGATCACGCTGATGCTGGACATCCGAGTGGAGGACGTGGAGGACGGGACGCAGGTCATCCGCTCCGTCAACCTGCTGGTGATCCGAGTTCTGGAGCACTCGGACCAGACCAACATATTCAGGTGGGTAGAAACGGATCCGTCTCTCTGACTGGGTCAGAACTCTGCAGCCTTTATCTCTGAGAGTGTGTGTGTGTGTGTGCTGCTTCTAAAAACCACCCAGCTGTTTTTGGAAATCATGTTTTTTGGTGTCTGGAAAATGAACCATTTCAATAACCTCCTAAATGTGACAACCAGTAGGCGCTGCAACGTTACCTAGCAACCAAACTGTACAATGGCTGCTGGAAAAGACTAGTGCTTTATTGTTGACTTACCATCCAGAGACCACTTTCTTGTTTGTTGTTCAGGAGGCTCCACTTCTGCTTTTCAAAGATGTACGGTTTTATAATTCACATCCGAGTGTAAACTGAGTGGGGGAGTGATTTCAAAGTGAGAACTATAAAATAGCTTAACTCTCATTATCCAAGTGATTTTGTGCAAAAATGTAATGAAAATGTTTTGTGTAGACCTTTCCTAACCTGCTCAGGGCAGCATGATGGATCACCTTTAAGATGTAGTTTGTGTTTGGACTGTTGAAATGGGGAGTTATAAACGTTTTTAGTGGAATCTGAAGTGTTTGCATGTTTTAGCTTTTTGAGACTCCGGGGCTCGACTGCAGTTGGGTTTAGCTGAAGTTTAGAGCCACTAAAGGTCCAAACTCATCACAGCGAGTTGCAAACCTCCAGTTTGACCCGTTTCTCCCGTTCCCGCAGCGCTCTGCTGGTTCTGCTTCAGGACACGCTGGTCTCCAACGCCGGGTCTCTTAAAGTCTCTGAACTGGTGATGAAGGTGAGCGCCGGTTCCGCTGCAGACCCGGCTCAATCGGTCGGCTCTGCTCCGCTCTAACCGTTTATCCTCCTCAGTGTCTGTGGAGGATGATCCGCTTGCTGCCAGAGAATATCAACAGCCTGAACCTGGACCGGATCCTGCTGGACGTCCACAACTTCATGAAGGTTTTCCCGAAAGAGAAGCTGAAGCAGCTGAAGACAGACGTTCCTCACCGGACCCTGAAGACCCTCTGCCACACGCTCTGCAGGCTCACCGGGGTCAAGGTAGCCAGAGGTCACGGACCCGGGGGGAGACGTGTTATTCCTGCCGGTTTCGTTCTGATCATTCTCGTTTCTGGGCAGATTCTGGACCACCTGTCCATGATAGAAAACCGGAACGAGTCGGAGTTGGAGGCCTACCTGAGGCGAGTCGTCAAACACTCGGGGAACCTGTCGGGAACGAAGAGTGACCGCGGCAACGAGAAGAGCGCCCACGGGACGGTGAGCGACAAACTTCAGAGGCGGTTGGAGCTGAAGGCCTGATCCGTTCCTCTGGTCCTCAGATTCTACTTCCTGTTTTCCTTATTTCTAAAAGTTCTTCTGGACCCACAGATTTAGAAAAGATTCACTAAAGTTGTGAAATATGAAGAATTTAGCAGGAAATGTAAAATAAAGACCTAGTGACGGAGCTGGCCGATAAATCGATTTTTGGTTTTTGAAGATTAAATTTTTGGATTTCGCTTATTGCATTCCTTGGGTTTCCATAGTTCAGTGATGTCGGTGCGCCCAGAGCCGCCATCTTGTTTTACAGCTTTTATTTATTTGGACTTTAAGTTACTACGATGAAACATCAGGGCCATGTTACGATTCATTTTAATTACGAGAGTAAATTGTACGACAATAGTAATAATAAAAGAAATATTAGGAGAATATAGTAGTATTTTTATAAGAAATCAACATGAAAAATAACTTTAAATGAGGAACGTTGAACATTTTGTGAAGTCATGCTCTGATATCAAGTTTAAAGAGAATACTTAATAATTAATATATCAATACTTGAGACATGGGAGTTTATTTTAACTAATTTCTGAATATTGATTTTAAAAGTCTTTAACACATTTCTAAAATTTTATAGGTGAAAAAAATCTGCACTTATCAATATTTAAGAATTATTGACTTGAAACAAGCTGTTTCTTGCTGAAAAGTTCATTGGAAGTTAGTTTTGTTATTTTAAGTGTAATAAGATATTTAGTCTAGACACCAGACCAAAATACTTGGTAAGATTTGATGTTTTCACAGTGAGACGATTTTCCTGATCTTAAAAAGTGGAAGGAACCAGATGTGAGACGTGGATCCAAACTGAAACCAGCATCAAAGTTTCTTCAATTCAGAAAGAAATGATGTCGTTACTCAGCTCTTCAGAGCCGTCGGTGATGCAGGAAGAATCTCCAGTAACAGTCAGAGTTGCAGCTTAACTGAATAGGCCTCTGACTGAAGACTATTTCTGTATGACTGTCTGTTTCCAGGCAGCAGAGACGATATTCGATTCAGAAATACTTTGATTCCAAAGGGGAATTAAATATTCCTCACTAGCATTTCCTGGATGACATCATCAGTTCAGACATGGTGCAAAGATGATTATCCGCAGCTGGTGTTTGTTTAATTAAGAAAACAGTTTGACTGTGGGGTTTCAGATCCATCAGACCCAGGCTTTGACTGGTCCATAACTTGGGTTCTGGAGATAATTGGGCTTTTAGATTCTGATTCTGGATGTTTCACCCTGCAGAGGTTAAAATGTGCTGAATAATTTGATGTCTGCTGTGCTGCAGGACGACCGCATGTCCAAGGCGAAGGTCAGCGACATCCTGTCCGAGATCTTCAAGAAGATCGGCTCCAAGGAGAACACTAAAGAGGTCCGGTTCTGCTCTGGTGCCGCCTCGTTGACCTTTGACTCCAGAGTTGATTGGTTGTTAATCTGAGGAAACCGTTTCCCCCCCAGGGCCTGACCGAGCTCTACGAGTACAAGCAGAAGTACTCTGACGCCGACCTGGAGCCGTTCCTCAGAAACACGTCGCAGTTCTTCCAGAGCTACGTGGAGCGAGGCCTGCGGGTCATCGAGTCGGAGCGTGAGGGAAAACCTCGGATCCAGAGCTCCTCAGGTTCTTCTGGGTTTTTTACGTCTGCCAGCCTGGTGGGTTTGTGTGTGTGTGTTAACGTCGCTGTGTGCGTTTGCAGTGATTCCTCAGCACAACGTGGAGTCCAGCCTCAGCAGCAGCAACGAAGAGCTGAAACCCGCCGTTTACTACGAGAGGCTGAAGATCCTCCGGCAGAGACAAGGCCTGGAAAACACGACCAGGGTGAGTCCAAACATCCGCCGCCTGGTTCCGGTTCCATGATGCTGCTGGGGAAATTACCCATTTATTAAAATTTTTATAAGATTTTATTTGAGTTTGGAAAAAGTGGAAACTTTTTAGAAAAAAACTTGTAAATGTCAATTTTTTATTTATCTAATTGTGAAATTGCTCGGTCGCCATGGTAACCGCTCCCCTCTGACGGCGCAGGCTCTCAGCAGCGAGGACGAGCCTCCGCAGCGGCCAGCCATCTCCTCCCTGCTGTCCTCCAAGCCGTCCGTGGCCTCGTCCACCGACATGCTCCACAGCAAGCTGTCGCAGCTGAAGGAGTCCCGGGAGCTGTACCAGCAGGAGCACAACGCGCGCTCCGGATCGCCGACCCGCGCCCGCGCCGCCTCGCCCGCCACCGCCAACCTGGACGACCTGAAGAAGCGTCTGGAGCGGATCAAGAGCAAGCGGCAGTGAGGCGTTTCGACCGCTCCCTCTCCCCCGTCTCCCCGCTCCCAATGCACGGACAGGAGGAAGGCCGCGGCCTCCTCATCCTCACACGCAGCCTGACTCCGCCCACTGTGCCTGTGTGATGAAAACATTAAAGCAACACATCCAGAAACCCTGCAGCTGCTTCAGGCCGTCTGTATTATAACGCTGACCTGTCTCTAACCCGTCATCCGGCTGTAAATATCTAACCTCCTCCTCACAGCGCCCTCTGCAGGTGGGTTTAGGTCGCATCAGGCTGTAGATACTTCTAGTCCTCATAAGCTCATCTGTTCAGCAGCTGGCGCTGGTTCCGGTTCCGACCCGCCCGGCTCTCCTCCGTCGTTGTGGCTTGAAGAGCATGGCATGTCTGTGGCTGTTTTTATGTTGGTGTAAATAATTTGTTTTAATAAAACTGCAGTTTTCCCTGCATCACCTGTCAGGTGAGCCCGTCTCTCACCTGTTCGGCGACGGGATCAGATAACCCGGTTTTTGTATTTAATTCAGACGTCAGAACTGCAGTCATCTCTTTGTTGCTGTCATTGTATAATCCATTGTTGAAAACATCAATAAAAATCTTTTTTTAACAACAATTTATGGTGTTTTTATTCTGTTGAAAAACTTAAAAGCTCAGACTAAAACATTTAAAACCCAGTTTTAGAAACTGCTGCAAAATATAAACCAAAGTATTTTTTATTTTATTTTATCAGGCTGTTCATGCAACCGGTCTTAAAATCATGCATCTAAAATATAAAAACACATTTTGTCTGTAAATGTTTTTTACTCGGGTCTCCTGAAGTGGCAGTTTAAAAAAAAATTGTGTATTTGAAACTTTTAATGTTCACAAAATTGTATCATATTTTGAGGTTGAATGAAAAATTTGTCTGCGACAGACTGGCGACCTGTCCAGGATGTACCCCGCCTCTCGCCCGGAACGTTAGCTGGAGATAGGCACCAGCACCCCTCCCGACCCCACTGAGGGACAAGGGTGTTCAGAAAATGGATGGATGGATGGATGAAAAATTTGTACAATACGCCAATATTTTTTCCTAATCGATTGGTAAAATGATCATTGGTTGCAGCACTAGATGCCTGGATAGTTTACGTTGGCATCAAGATTCATTTGCTTGAGTCATTCCAGCTGCTCATTCAGGAGAAAAGGTGTAAAACTGAGATTCAGGTTGGTTGCAGTTTGCAATGTCACCACTAGATGTCACCAAACGTCACAGCCAACCATTGGAGACATTTATCACTGACCGTTTTTAATTTGTTTTCTAACATTTTGGTTTCAGTTTTATCTTCGTATGTAGAAGTTGTGATATGTATATTTTTTATATCATAATTAAATTCTTTATTCCTTTTTTCATTTTTGCCAGTTGTAAATGTTTTTCACTCTAAACAAGCAACCTCATTCCTCATTAGTTTCTCATTCCAGTTTTACAGGCTGGCAAAAATTTCTTTTCAGAAAAATCTGTTTCTGATCATACACCAGACAAGAAAACTCTCAAACTTCAAAGTTCTGATTTTGTTATTTCTCAACTTATTAACTCGGATATCCTGAGTTTAATGTGGCAGCTTTAATCGACTCTGTTCACACAAGCCACGAAGACTACTTTCTGTTGTCTTCTTCGTGGTTTTCGCCAGTAGTACTCTTAGTCCTATGCGGCTGTTGATCACAGACATGTGTGACGCGAAAAAAGTGTTTCCATTACATTTTGGCTAAACACATCTATTACAACACGGCTGAAAAACCACATCATCCCATTGCAACAACTTTTTTATCGAATTTATTATTATTATTATTATTATTATTATTTTTTTATTTTTTTTTTTCAAAAATTGTCCTTCCATTAAGCGAATTTATTTTCCATAATTTCAGTTTGCGCAATTCCTCAGCTACTGCAATTATGGTAAAAGGGCGAAGTTGGCCTGTTCCTCTGGTTTGAAAGCCGTCGGGTTGTTTCCAACCAAACTAAGCTGAAATCCACTTAGAGGAAGATTTGTTCTGATTCTGTCTGATGCTGATTGATTATGAATAAATTATTATGATTACTTGGAAACACACCGCTAAACAGCCCGTTAGCTAAATTTAAGCTAGTGCTAATGCTAACTAGCCTCCAGGCGGGTTCGGAGCTCTGACTGAGGTCAGCGGGTTAGTGGCAGCTGAGCCCGTCCAGATTCTGTCCGAATTCCTTTAACGTGACATAATGCTGAACTCTGGACTCAAAAGAAGCTTCATCTGGATCTCCAATCCTGCCAAACGACTCAGAGCAGCGGTGAAGTAGCACTTGAAGACCTCGACCACACACCCTGCCCTGTCAGGAAACCTCCAAAAGCCGCTTTTCTTGCGCCTCTTCCACCATTTTCAGGTTTCCCCCCCCCTAATCTCCTGATCAAATGTGCCAAACGCTCCCCAAAGGATCCAAACGGATGAAAATCAGCGAAGAGAATGGAGTCATTAGGAGGCCTTTGGTTTGCAGAGGAGCCGCATTGTTTGAGCTGCTGAACGTTTGAGAAGATAAACAGAATTCCAGCGAGGAGACATGAGCTTCAAGTGCTGTTATAAAAGATTAATGCAAAGGTTTGGAAGCACACACACGATGGTTACCGTTTATTCTGAACGGAATCCCATTTTGGGATCAGATTCATGCGTTTGTTGTTGGCAGAACTGAATGGGGTGAAATGATTTCTGTGTGTTTGTCTACAAATTTTGGATCAGCAGAGACAGAAAATCAGACCAAATGGCAAAAGTGTTACAGTTAAATCAGCTGGGAAATCAACAAAAATAATAAGCAAATTAAAAAGATAACATAAGTTCAGGATGATAAAACTTAAGTAAAGACATTGAAAATAAAAATAAGTCAGAAAAAAATATCTAAATAATCACATAAGAAAGCAAAATATTATTATTAGACTTAGAGGAAAATATACAACAAAAGAAGAAGTTTAAAAGTTGGGGAACAGTTCAATATTAAGAAAGGCAAAAAAAAAAATCTAAATCAAAATGAAATGTCCAATAGTTATGGATGCTGGTTAAATGTACATTACATTTGATAGTTTTTGAAACAGCTCATTTTCCAGACACCAAAATGCAAAAAACCATCAAATTTTATTTATTTATTTAGCGTGCTTGGGCTGCTTTTAGAAGCAGTAGACCTCCAAATGAAATTAAAAATCTGCAAAAAGTGAATTTTGCTTAACAGATCCTCTTTAAAATGTAGGGAGTGATGGTAAAAAGTCATCAGAAAAATAAATACTCAAGTAAAGTACAGAAACATGAAAACTCTACTAGCTAAACCTGGGTTGCTAGGCAACGGGCTGGGCTTCACTTGGGTTGCTAGGCAACAGGCAGTGCCTGCTGACTTGTGACATTGCATTCCAAAGGTTTAGAAACAAAAAACATGAACTTATTGCCAAATAAAACCCCTGGGTGTTTTTTTTTCCAACTGGTTTGGCTGTTTTTGAGTTGAGACCCAAACAGACGAACAAAAACATGAAAAATATGAATTTTGCACAATATATCTTTTTTAACAGACTGGTTAGAGCTGATGGGACTTTTAATCCGTTTGCTTTATGTTGCTTATGCATATTGTACCATCTTTGAGTGTGTGGTCGCCTCCGGCTCATTATTTATTCTCCGTCTCTGTTTGATTGGCAGCCGGCCGGCCCTCCTGGCTGGGAGCTGCGGCCGACTGACCAGTGCCATATGGACTCCTTTATGCGCGCACGCTGACCAGGACACACACTGGTGGCTCCAGGACAGCACTCTTTAACCCGTTTAACACGCTGCGACAAAAGGTTTGGACCCCCATGTATGCAGCGTGGAATTTAACCAGCTCTCTGCGTCACACTGGGGCTCCGATTGTCTGAAAACAGAAATGTGATTTAACTTTTCCTCCCTGTGAGCCTGGAGTTCATGTGAAGATCATGAAAGAATCATAAAAGCCCTAAAGGAAGGCATAAATATGCATTTTAAAGTCATAATTATTAGATATAAAGTCATAATTTTGACTTTCAAATTCTGAGTTATGAGATTCAGTCATAATTCTGAAATGCAAAATTATAATTTCCACATTCAAAGTCATAATTTTGACTTTAAAACTTACAATTATGAGTTTATGACATATAAAGTCATAATTTTGAGATATAAAGTTATAATTTCTACTTTCAGTTATAATTGTGAGCTGTAATTTCATACTCATAATTATGAGATTCAGTTATAATGACAATATTAAGTCGTCATTTTGAGATACAAGACAGTTTCAACTTTCAAAGTCATAAATAGGAGATTTTGTCACAAATATGGGATAAGTAAGTATCTCATAATCATGACGTTGAGATTCAAATCATGACTAACAGACTACGTAGAAAATCAGTGACTTTTTTCTCAAAACTCTTAATTAGATCTTCCTGTTGGGCTTTTATTCTTTTTTTCAGGGTGGAAATGTGCTCCATAAATTCATTTTTATATTTAACCTGAACTTCACTTTGTGCAGTAAAGTTGCTTTATCATAACAGAGCAGCAACAATAAAACTAGAGCCAAGTTGAGTCAGCAGATGTTTTTTTACAGTGCAGGAATCTTAAAGGAACCTTACTTCAGTGTGTAATGGAGCAAGTTGTCTTGATTTTACCAACCAAGGAGTTTTTTTTTCCTTTCACTATAAGTTTCTGCATCAGTTTCAGGTTTCTGTCAGAGTTTTGTATTTTTTTTTTTTTTTATCAACTTATTAGTTGAACAAATGAAAATAAAAATGAACCTGAACCTGAATACAATCAGGAGGATCAGAGAAAAGCTTTAATAAAGTACCAGGAAGTACTTCAGTTTTCAGATTTTTCTGAGTTTAGATAAAAAAACATAAACCAATTTTGATTCTCATCAAAGTGCCACATTTCTAACCAATCGTTGAAAACAAAACTTTCTGCTTTAGATGCGTCAGAGATGCCTCAGCTGACATTGTTTTTTCTCTTTTCTCTGAGATGTGCACCGTCCTTCCTCCTTCCTTCCTCCTCCTCCTCCCTCTCTGCCCAGCTGAATACCCACTAAAGGTAATTAGATCATAATGACCTCGCAGCATCCATATAAAACCTGATTATCCACGCCACCGTCTGCCTAATGAGCTGAAAAACTGCTGTGTGAGTGTGTGTCAGTGTGTGTGTGAAATGTCTGTATTTTGCTCCTTTCGTCACAGCTCTGTGTGGCATCTCAACACTCACACTGGAGACAGAAACCACGAGCTGCAGGACGAGGGACCAAAACGTCCTGATCGTCCTAAAAGAGTCAAAACAAAATGAAGGCAACAAAATGCAACTGATTTAACCATCGCTGCAAAAATACAAAGTCTTACCAAGTACTTTTAGTCTAAATATCATAGTGCACTGGAAATCAGACAAAACTAACTTACAGGTAATGTTTCAGTGAGATATAGAGGCTTGTTTTAAGTAAGTAATTCCTTAATATTGATGAAAAGTTTAGATTATTTCACTTATAAATGTTTTGTTTTAAGTGAAATAATCTGCCAGCAGAACAAGACTTTTTAAAATCAATAATAATGAATTATTTAATTAAAACAAGATCTTTTATTGTGCTGAAATGTTACCTGTAAATTAGTTTTTTTGTTTCAAGTGTACTAAGATATTTGCACTAGAAACTGCCAGCCTATAGAAATTGTTTTTGCAGTGTGGTTAAATCGGTTGGATTTTGTTTTGTCTCTTTCAGGACATTTTGACTCTCGGTCCTGGTCCCTCGTCCTGCAGCTCGTGGTTTCTGTCTCCAGTGTGAGTGTTGAGAAGTTGTGACAAAACTAATTTTGTTCCCCGCTCCCTGTTCCCTGCTCCCTGCATACCTGCTCCCTGCTCCCTGCTCCCTGCTCCC